AAAAAGGAAATGTATTGCACACCATTCGAAAGAGCGTTTCAACCACTCTCGGATGTAATAATCATTCATCTTTCAAGCTTATCCTTAAAACAGGAAAAGAAACCGTTTCGAAGAAGATAGAGATCGGACATTTTGACGATTCAGTAGAACACTTTTAGTGATGTTTAATTTTTAATTTGTTTCAATGAGGCTTTGCGAGGGATAATTTTATTTGATACGCGTTTGTAGTTCAAACTTTGCTCTTTCAAACAAAAAGAAAGTGAAGTCTCCAGAATAGTAGGAGCATAGAGAAACAGTACTCGAAATTTCTTGAAAAACTTATGCATAACCCGCTATCTATGATCTGCGTTCAATGGCGAAGGAAACAGAGAAAAATGAAATTCAGTATTGTTCACCTATATTTTGCATCCTTCATAATATACGCAAAGGAAAATGAGAAATCAAATGAAAACAACAGAAATTTCGGTCTTTTTACTTCATGTTATTCCCGCATATGTATTTTTACCATTATTGTTAAATATTCTAGTCCGAAAAAAGACAGGCATAGTATGAAACTTATGAGGTTCCGTGGAACTTTCTCATACCAATCAGGTATGGTACGTATCTGCAAAACCTCATTAAGCAGTAATCGAAGAGATTTCGTATGATACCTTTCAAGATTTTGTATCATACTCTTCAAGGTTGGTATTCGAACAGGTTTCATAACACACCTCTTGAAGGTATAGTAGTAGAAAACGTTTCGTACTATACCTCTCTCTGTGCTACTCTCATATGAGCGAGAGCTTGTTTTTTGTTCGCGTCCAGAATAGCTGAGAAATGTTGTGAATTTCTCTATTTTTGTGGAAAAAGTGCTCAATGTAATTAAAGCTAGAAATTTTTCTGGATACCCTCTGAATATCAAAGGGAACTGGAAGTATACTATATGCTGTTTGTTTGTGTTTTTTTCTCGTTCGTGTTTGTACTAAAGAAACTGAACAGGAAAGTAAAGCGCATGTTTTTTACATAACGAAGTTCTTTGATGGCGTTATATGTGTACATGCTTTTAGTGACACATTCAGACATCATGCACACACCGTATGAAACTGAGAAAAGAAATAGGCTGAAACGAAGTTTCGAACCTATTTCTTAAAAATGTTTTGAAAAAACGTGCGAAGGAATGGTTTTCCTTCTTTCAGAAAAACTTCTGGCTATAAAGTCATCCTTTTTTCCATGGTAGTGGGAACAAATTAGGGAAACAAAATAATGAAGATCGGTCGATAGGGCCCGGAGAGTTTTTTTATTCACATTTTTGATTCAAACGGTACAATAAAATTGCAATTGGCTCGTTTGTTCAGAATGTATTCTAGATCTTAATTATTCAGTTTCTTGAAGAGGCAACTGCTGGTTTATCGTAGATCTTCACAAACTCAAAGAAGAACATACTTTTCGTTTTAGAAATGCATAAAAGGTCAGATAGATCATTATAACAATACCTTTTCATACACTTCCATTACTTCAGTTATTCACACGATATTAATCAGAAATCAAAATTAAAAAACTGTGCTTTGGATGAGAAAATGATTTCTTTTGTAGAAAATGAAACAGTGAATCACTTCTAAAAACAATGAGCTCAAAGAGGCTAGTTAGATGATGTAAAGACATACGAAAAATACTGAGAGGGCCATTATCTCTGACTCAACCGTTATGTAAAAAATACATTCGATTATGTAGCCAAGCTTTATTTAGAAATTTTTGATAAAGTAAATAGCGTTTTTAGCATAGTTTTATGACTAAAGAGAGCACGACTCTACTTGAAAAGATTGTTCTGAGCAACGGATCTATTTTGTACGTTCTTTCAAAATTCAAGAACGAAATTATCTATAAAGTATTTTAAAAGCTTCAGTGAGAAAAAGATACTTTAGCTTTTTTTAAACATCCACTTTTTTCTCGAAATCTAGCAACTAGCAGGATCCGCTGCCACATAACAGCCAAAATGTATCATTAGACTAGCTGCGTGTCTACAACCATATTTTTTTAAAGTTATTTTTACGAGAATCATTGGCATAGTTAGTAGTCTCTGCTGAATACAACAAAGTGGAAAATTGTTGAAATATGGTTTGTGGAAATGAATGAAATTATTGCAACCATATTAAAACTGGCATTTGTGACAAGAAATAAAGAATAAATAACATACGGTTCTCCGTGCCGATGAAATATCGAACCGTAACTATCAAACCATTTCCATTCTTCCAATTCACTGGAAAGATTAACTATTGAAAATATTTGAAATTCATTTTTCTATGAACTGTTTGACATCCTACTAACATTGATTTCATTGTTTGTAGAAAAACTTACAATGGCAGCTTATTTCTTCAAGTATGTTGTTGTTTAATTTCGCCGTTCAAACTTTCTAAATCTCTGTTAATAGAAGGCAGACCCAGAATCGGCTGAGAAACAGTAAACCGGTCTGGTTCAGCCGGTTAGAATTATAACTCAAACCGGTAAAATATCGATGAAAAACTGGCGAAGTTTTTTGAAAATCGATTTTCAGAAAGAATTTCTGCCAGAAATAAAGTAGTTTGTCAGCACATGTGAGAGAACTTTCACAATAACGAGTCTGTAAATGTACAAGGGTGAACATACAAACCTGGTAAAACTATGCACTACCGAAACAACTGAAGCACCTTTTCGTGGTGGAGATTGGGTATATCTGAATTATGATGAGGATGACTGAGAAACAAGGGTAAGTTTAACTCGAAGCAATGATATCGGGACATAAACTCTTCACCCATTTCTTCGATTGCCCTTATTGTGAGGCTTGTTGTAGGTTGCAACCATACCATCGTGATGTCGAAGATCTTGATGATTATCACATCTAAAAGGAGGTGTGATAACCACTGATAAGTCATCTGCGAATAAATGATTCGAATGTGCTCCTAATTTATTGGGTAGATCGCAATGAAATATAATAAATAGTATAGGTGATAATGAGCTGCCTTGTGATAAATCTATTTCAGTAAGAAAAAATTCGGAATTATATCTTCCGTAAACAATTTGAGCTTTAGAGCCTCTAAGCCAGTTCCAAACCACTCTCAATTCTTTTTCTTTACCTATCTTTATACCGCTATTTTAATCTTTTCTTTTTCTTTTTTTATCACTCAACTAAACTAGAATGACGAAAGGGTGAAAGAAAATCGGGCTATTTTACTTTATTTTATTTTAGTCAACCCAAATTAAAATATACGATGTAAATATATAACGTGGAAGATGATCCTTTTTTGAACTACAACTTAAATCAGAAGATTGATAAAGAATATGTTAATAAACTAAATATATATCTGGAAAATCTCTCGAAGTTCAATGAAAAGCACGTCTTATAGTTTTTCATATTCTGTTTCCTAAATTCAAATCTAGCAGTTAGATTTCGTTGTATGGTTTCTGTAGTCGAGTTGCTAATATCCTTTGTTACATTTATTGGAAATAACGGTTCTTCTGCTCCTGGTTCAATCCACTATTTAATGATGGATTTTCATTGTGGACTAATTTGTCTGCATCGATTATAACCCAAATTTGCTATGGTATACACTGTCTCTAGTGATTTCTTCTATTTCAGTTCTTTTCTTTGTCAAAAATCGTACTGTTTTGTATATATACAATTTATTTTATTTTATTAATTTTATGTTGAAATTCTATTTGATATTGTACTGAAGGAGATTATGAAATCAAGAACAAATGGAAACAATACACCGAGGAACTATACAAGAAGGAAATCAATGGAACCGGGAATTTAGATCTCGACAATTATGAACCAGAACCAGATATTTTGGAAAACGAAGTGACATTCGCAATGGAAACACTAGCAAATGGTAAAGCACCTGGACATGATGGCATCCCAATCGAATGTTTTAAAACAATTAAAGAAGATACAGTGAAAGTATTAACAAAATTATGCCAACAAATATGGAAAACAAACAAATGGCCTGAAGATTGG